GTAGTAGTAGAAGTAGCAGTCGTCGTCGTAGTAGTAGTAGTAGTAGTAGTAGTAGTACTAGAATCATTTTAGGGCGCCCCAGACTTTAGCGTAGCCCAAAGGCCCTACGATATGAAATGGGGCCGACTGTGTCAGCGAATCACGACACTAAACCCTGAACCCCCAAATGCATTTAAACCTATATCCTAAAGCCCATTTTGATTGGTACATAAATACTCACTATACAAACTTTTTGATTTCACATACAGGCCCCAAACATGAGCTAGAGCCCCTCTCATGCATCGCTCGAGTCTCCAAGACTCGCCCTTCGAGGCCATGACGATGCTGCTCTCCGAGAATTTGGACGAAGAGTTTTCGCCCATTCATCAGCAAGAGCAGCAGCTCGGTAGCTGCTAAGGTTTAGGGTTTGAGGTTTAGGGGGGTTTGGGTTTAGGGCTCACTTCCTTAAGAAGTTGTGGGAGCCCTGTACAGCACTCGGTCTGCAGGGCACTCATAGTCGCCAGCATGTGTTTGTGCCAAAACATTCGCCAACGCAGTGAACGCCACAGTTGCCCACAGTTGTGGTCTTCCGGACGTTTTTGTTCAAGCTGCTGAGCGTTCCTGATTCTGAGGCAGTTTCAGGTGGAGATAATGACGGAGGAGGTGGACTGCGTCTTCAAGGGCAACCTGAGCAGCTTTCTGAGCCTGATGCATCCGTGAACACTTGTGTGGCTGGTTTCGTTGACCTTGGTTGCCTGAGGTGTGCTGAATGCTGCCTTCTTGATCTACGCGGGTTCTGTGGACCGTTCCCTGAAACCTGTAGAGCGCAGACAATGCTGTGCTGATTGCTGATCATGTCTTCTTCAACTGCCATGCGACACCGGAACCCTAAACCCTAAGCTCTACTGGCTGCTGCCAAGAGTGCTGCGCACGCTGCTGCGAGGAAACGCCGGACGCGATGCCCTATGTCAAAGACCAACTCTCGAAGACCAAGAGGCCGAGCCAGCGTTTGGATCATTAGTGCCATCATTATGATGATTAGTATTACTAGTATTATAGGTTTAAGTACGATGTTGACTCCCATTATTAATCTTGTGAATATGACTGTTGCAGGACTTTTCATCTTAGCTTAGAAACCTCCAGCTCCTTGGAAAGTCAAGCAGTTTCCCGGAGGCCTCCGGTTTAGGGTTTAGGGTTNNTTAGGGTTTCACTGCTGTTTTGCTCCAGCGCACATGACACGCTCGCCAACTCAAGAACCAAAAACCCGAGCTAACCCAAACCCCAAACCATACCCCAAACCCCAGTTGCACCGAACCCCACACGATCTGACAAGTTACAGGAAGATGAACGTAAACAGCTCCAGCCTTAACCCTAAATCCTAGACCCTCAGCCC